GCACATCTGTAAACAGAGCATAACTAGAACTTGTGAATTGTAGCCTAGGATGTCTATGTCATAAGACTCTTCAGTTTGAAAAATGAGCATGAGCTGTACAATAAAATTCTTTCACTTACTAAATATCATGGTTTAAAGCTTTCTTCTTTACTGAAAATGCAAAGTACTTTTTATGAACAGGTTTCTGGAGGAGAGGCCAGAGCACCAGACAGGTAAACTGCAGGATACTATGTCATCAGCTTGCATATTTGCAAAGCTGTCTGTCCTATTTGTCATGAAGTAAACTCCCTCAAGAAAATTTATTTTAAAAGATGCAGGTTGCTTTTATTTTATTTCTTTGTTAACAAAGCGTACACAGAACTGATTTACATTGTTAATATGCTTTTAACTGTACAACTATAGATATTCCATATTCATAAAGAAACACATGCATGGAATTTCATTTTAGCAATAAAATCTCCCTAAGGCAATAAAGTTCAGAAATAAGGACAGTTAGAAAAAGCGCATTCTTCTCTTTTCCACTGGCTGAATTTCTCTCCTAAGAACTCAACCATTCCTTGAAGTAAGAAAAGCAATAGAAATTTATAAACTGAGCACAGCATTATAGGAGATAAAATAAATAGCAGGAAAACATGTAACTAGAGCAGTGTGTCCTGACCTTTTCCACATCAAAGCACAAATAGGAAAAGATAATATTTTGTAAGGCACAATGCCATAAGTTGAGAAAGATTATAGCTAGAAGGAATTCTATAAATTCTAGCCTCTTCAGACTGGCAGACCATGTCAAGGGCTACAGGGATTGAAATCTCAGGCATACTCATAACTCATTTGTGGCACTATATACTCTGAGACTGGGAAGTGCTGCACTAGAGGATTTTCAGGTTGATACAACACTGGGAAAATAAATTTTGAAAAAAAATACTGAATTTTTCATATCTAACATTTTAGGATATGTAATTTGTTGTCCCAAGGATTCCCCAGAATTCCAGCATTTGTAAACCACATGCTAACATTTCTTTTGATGGTCCTCACACTTGTAAAGAATTATATTCCTGGAAAATGTACTATGTGTAAAAAAAATTGAATTTAAGTATATATATATGTTTACCAGAGACTTTTATGTTATATGACACCAGTCAAGACCTCTAATGATTCAGTATAATCATCACAGTAAATCAATTAAAGTTATTGTAAGTAAATTATACAAAACAGCACATAACTAATGTCATGAAATCAAATATTACACACATGTACATCTATAATACCTTATTTTCAATATTATAAATCAGATAGGTCTTCTGCTTTACACAAAAGAATAACAGTGATCAGGTATAACTTTTTTGCCTGAAACAACCAAAGAATAGGGAAGAAAAAAAGTGTGTGTATGTGTGTACACAAAGATAGATGACAGATCAATGATAGATAGATAGACAGACAGACAGACAGATAGGAGCTAGCAGGAATCCAAGGAGAAGCTAAGGTTCACGGAAGAAAAATTTAGCTTTAGAACTGACCCTACTCAGGCAAAATTTCTCCCTTTGGAACATTTTTCTAAAAATGCCTTGACAAATCATGAGTTTTGTTTTTCCAGAGGTAGGTTATTTCTATAAATGTTCATAATCAGTCTTCTACCTACAAAGGTTATTATTATGAGTCCAACATTTTTTTCTTCACTTCTCTTGACTTTCTTCAGCATAGCTCATTTTTATCATTCCTATTCTGTCATTATAACCAATGATTGTGATTAGGCATCGTCAAAGTGAAAGATATCATAAGTGCAAGTGGCATCAAGGTAACATAGAACCTGATGGAGTTATAAAGATCTTCATTAAGTGCACTAGGAATGAGGTCCTTGGGTTTATCTCCAACTTAGAAAATGTGATTATGTGTGAGATATTAAGTACTCTAGAAGCAATTCATCTTAACTTGCTGTTGTAGTTTAGATATGGTTTGAATGTGTTTTCCAACAGAGTTTCATATGCTGGAAGATTGGTCTGAAGTGTATCAGGGTTTAAGTGATACAACCTTTCAGAGTTAACCGAAAGAGTTAATACTAGTCTTTTGGATTGGATTAGTTTTCATGAGAATGGTTTTTTTTTCTAAAGCAAGTTCAGTTGCCTGGGCTCTCTGTCTTGTTTTCTTTCTCATCATGCAATCTCTTCTATAGGAGTTCTCAACACTATGATGCCATCCACCCTGAGACCTTCACAAATTTGAGTAGATGCCTGTACTCAAATTTGTGAACTTGAAACTTGAAACTCCATACCTGTGATCTAAATAAACTTCCTTTCTTTATAAGTGTCTCAATCCCAGGTATTTTTTTCATAGCAGCACAAAACTAGTATGTTTGTATACTATCTGTATTCATAAAAAAAATATTTATTTGGAGATCTGAAATCTGAGTGGGATCTGACTAAGATTAAGATGGCAAAAAGAAGGGTCAGCAGTGTTTGCAGATCTAATGAGGAGGGAGCCTTGCTGCCCTTGAGATTATCTTCATGCATACTCCCCAAATAAATAGTAAGTGAAACCAGAGACAATGGCTAGTAAGTTGGTTCAACTGTGGCATTATATTTGGGCCCCTATTTAACTTTACACTGCAAATATATAAGCTTCTTTTAGTCTTCAGATGTGGCCTTGGCTCCTCCTGTCCTAGTTCAGAATGTTTGATATATTGTTTTTAAGCAACTGGTCATAACCTGCCGCCATTCTCAGTGTTGTGAAGTTCTTCCTCCGTGTTGGATTTTGTTGATTCTTATTTCCAGCCTCATTGAGGTTTCTCCTAGAATGTCTGATTCCTTGTTATCAATTGTTTTCTGTGGCAAGAAGATAAAATGTGGCAACCATTGTAATGACAAATTCATGCACCAATAAAGGCCTGGCTGAGCAGTATCATTCATTGCAGCAGAAATGAACATTAGTAATTCACAATTATTTTATGGGTGAAGATGATAACTTGTCACTTCCAAAATGGCTATATTATGCATATGCATAATTAAATAAAATAGCCTTTTAAATATACAACTAAGATAATAGATCCTCACTTCTTTCTCTGGGGATATATAGTGACACTAAACATTCAGTACCTAAAAAAGCTGTTAAAATTTTAAAATAATGTGTCCTTATTCAGTCTATGAAAATTTCAATGGACAAATCTTGTTTTAGGAAGGAATAAAACTGAAACAAAAGTGAAAGTTATGACCTAAATATTCCCAGCTAAGAAATATTGGAAAAGAAACATTTTAAACTAAATGTAACTATATATGTCTGTATGTATGTGTGTGTGTATGTGTGTATGTGTATGTGTGTGTATACATATTTATACATATGACAAAAGTATGTTTTTAAAACCATAAAGTTTAAATATTTTACTTTGATATAGTTTATAAATTAAAAGTCAAAATTACTAAAGCTCTAAACACATTTTAGTGACATAATAAGAATACTTTATTCATAATTTTTTACATTATAAAAACTGTGTATAACCTTTCAGCTTGCTTAAGTATTCTAATGAAAGGTAGACCTACAAATGCATTTATTCATCAGTGATCCAACAGATAATATAGCTATATAAAACTAGTTTTCTGTGTCCTAACATAACATGGCCTTATTTGGTTTCTAGATAAAATAGGAAATAATTGTTATATGAATTACCAAGTTATTGATTTTTCATTATCAGTAAACATTAATGTCATACAACTTCCAGACACACTAGCATGTTACTTGACTGGTAAGTCTAAACATTTAGGACTGATCTGTGTTAGTTTGCTAAAGTGGACATGATTGTCCTGCCAAGCTACCAGCCATCCCTGTCTCTTTTGGCCATTTAAGTGCTAGATCCCTGGAAAACAGTCAATCTTGGTTCAAGCAGAAGACAGGAATCTTTGTGGCATGTTTGCTAGTATAGGAATGGGTTAGAAGTAAAGAGATTCCTGGATTCAAAACACTATATTTAACACCATAGTATTGTCATGATAAAAGTATGTACATAGCCAAACTACGGAACCAACCTAGGTGTCCTTTAATAGATGAAAGGATAAAGAAAAAAAAAAATATATATATATATATATATATATTCATTCAATGGAATATTGCTCAGCTTTAAATAAGAATGAATTATGGCATTTGCCAGTAAATGGATGGAGTTGGAGAATATCATGCTAAGTGAAATAAGCCAATCCCCCCAAAACAAAAGCCAAATGTTTTCTCTAATATGCGGATGTTAATTCACAATAGGGGTGGGGGGTGGGCATGAGAGAAGAACAGAGTTACCTTAGAGTAGGTGGAGGGAAATGAAGGGAGGAGAGGGGAAGGGGTGTGGGGTTAGGAAGGATAGTAGAATGAAACAGACATTGATTTATGTATATATGTGACTGCATGACCAATGTGACTCTACCACATGTACCTTCAGAAAAATGAGAAATTATATACATCTCATCTATGTATGATATATCAAAGTGCATAAATGCAGTCTACTGTCATGTATAACAAATTAAAACAAATTTAAAATAAATAAATAAAAGTATGTATTCTAAATAAATGTCTGTAAAAATCAATTTTTAGACTGGATATAAACTTTACATTTATTGTTTGTCCCTATGCTATAGGGCTACTTCTGAAGCTGATTCTCCTGGCATCATAAATTATGTCCTCATTTAGATCTTTGCTCACTATATTTGCCCAGGATTCCCCCTTACTAAATACTTGAAAAATATATGGAATTTCCATATAATTTCCATAAGCTTTCCAAGTGGTTACACTTAAGCTTGCTACATGAATTTACAACTAATTTGTCATTAAATAACCTCACACCACTTCATGTGTAGCTTGGATACCTTATAACAGAGCCTTCCTTATTTTTCCCTCTGTCTCTTATAGCAATGTTGTCATTCATTTTGTTTATCCATATGCTCTAATCACACATACATTGCTATCATGATTACTTTAAATACAAAGTTATCCTTTAGATAAATTAAGAATAAAAGTGATAAACTACTTACTTTATCTTCATAAATTCTGGAAACTTCATGGTTGGTTTCAGGATTTCATCCACTGTCTTTAGATTTTCAACAGCCCGAACATGATTCTGGATTTCTCAATATTTATTCTGCTTCGTGTTGCTTGAGCTTCCCACATCTAGGGTTTGGCTTCTGTTATTAATTTTGGAAAATTCTATGTCAATGTTATAACAAATATTTCCTCTGATTAAATTTCAATATAGAGGAGAAAAGAGGTTTAAATTCTCACTTGCATAAAGAGTATAGAAATTGTTTTCTTTTGTATAATGTGTGTGTTTTGTATCTATTTTACAAAAATTCTATCAGAAAATATTGGTGAACTCCATATGGCTATATAGGAAAAAAAATCGTCCAACAAAAGAAATACCTCTAATAGTGCTAACCCCATTATACATTAAAGTATAAAAAGTGATGTTCTCCTAATACTGATTTTAAAGTGCTGAGATGTAGCATCTGATCCCATTTTAAATGAAATTCATAATTTTAAAGAAATCCCTTTACTTTAGAAAAGACTAACAGTAAAAGTTCTTAGAACACCATAATACATGATGGTAGAGAATCCTTTCCTTTTAACAAAGTATAGAAAAAATTTATTGTTTCTATAACTTCTATTCAATATTATAATGAAAGCCTTAACCCATGTAAAAAAGGTAAATAAAGGAAATTAAATATATAAGAATTAAAATGAAAAATTATGCCTATTTGAAGATAATATATTCTACATTGAAAAGAGAAAATAATCCACAGATAAATAAATTAATATATATAAAGGAAGCTAAACAAATTGACCAAACACAAAACTTCAACTTCTTGTACATATCTGATGGAGATAAGAAAGGAATTGTAAGAAATACTATTTGCAATGGGAACTAATGTATGTATGTTCTATGTAGGAGTAAATTAAATTAAAGATATATAAAACCTTTATGAAGAAAGTGAAGATAATTTATTATACATTGTAAGAAAGAACTAAAATGTGATGCAATAATATCATGCCCTGGATAATAACATTGCATATAATGAAAATGTCAAAATTTTCCCTTGTTTACCAACACACATTTGGGGGAATGAGCTGTGGAAACTAACTCCAAAATTTCAATGGAAGAACAAAACCAGAGACAAATGCTCCTACTGAACAAGATGTCTTGTTAATAAGTTTATTTTTCTATTTTCTTAAAGTCTACATTTATCCTACCCCAAATTCTGTGTTGTACAGAAATACTCTTCCATTTAATACTCATGTGCTGATACCAAACTGTTTTGATTAATACAGCACTGTGATATGTAAATGTTTTATATGTTGTTTAGAATTTTTCTACTTATAATTTGGAATATTTCTCCAGATTAAATCCAATATATTTTGACAATTTTTAAAAATCTATTTCTGCTTAATTGTATAATGATCAGTTCATGGATGTATGTATGGATAGTGGACATTTTTATAATGCCCAAAGACCCATTCCTCCTGAATATCAAGCATTAGTTTTTATTCATTCAAAATATTTTGGGGCTTCTGGTAGTGAATTTAAATATTTATTCATGTATGTTTATTCATTCTTATGATGTAAATTTAGTTATTTTTTTTCTTTTCAGTTTTTTCCTCTCTGGATAAAAGCCTTGGAAATATGTTTTCTTACCATAACTTTACTGAATAGTTTTGTTTTCTGATATTCCAGTTTGTACCCTTTATTCAACATCTTCTCATCTTGTGTGTGTGTGTATATGTGTGTATGTGTGTGTTTTGTGTATGTGGGGGTGTGTGTGTGCTGTGTGTTTCCTTGTGGAGAAATTTGTTGAGAATTTTCTTAGAACTATATTTGCAATTTTATAATTTTTATCTGCCCTAATATACTGTTTAATCCATTGGATGTTTAATTTTATTAACTATTTATTTCAAAAAGCTATATTTTGATTAATTAAATACTTGCCTGAGGTGTCTTTTCTTTAAATAGGTTATTTAATTTGACTTGATTAATTCATACCTGCCCTTCCTTTCTTTAATTTAATCATTTCAAGTCTCTTATTTTAGGTTCTTATAATTTTTCCCACAGCACTTAAGTGCTAACTCTCTATTTGTAGGAATTTAATAACTTCACAATTATAAATTTTCTCATACATGTTAATTTTTAATTATGACCAACTTTTTGTGAGAAAGTTTTTCTATTATTAGAGTTAAAGGTCGTCAGTGTTGTAACAATATCCCCACATTATTCAAACAATTGTTCCTGCCCTGCTGACTGATGTTAATGACTTTCATTTTATAGATTTATAGTTCCCATACCACGATGATAGTATAAATTTTCATCTCATATTTAAGCCTTTTGCCAGCCTACATTTGTTTTTGTTTGTAATTGGGAGTAGATTTAAATGGCTACCATTCCAAAATTCCAAGTGATCCCAACATTTTAGCCACCTCACCAAAATACATGTAATTCAGTCTTTTCTTTAAAAAATATGTATATATATACATATATATATATTTTATATACACACATATGCATATATAAATATATTCAGAAATGTCATTCAAATATTACTCTTATATTTACTTCAGCCAAAGTCACCAAGATAGAGAACTGCATATATAACTGCTGACCAACATTTCTCTTTTGTTCCTTCTTGTAAAAGGACCAGTCAGTGAAATTTCTCATAGATTCTAGTTCTGTTGCTCCATACTGTTTAGGAATGCAGGAATAGCACCCTAGCTACCTGTCTACATAGGAAGGTGATTCCCAATTTGGTCTCTCAGCCTGTAAGCATGATTTTACAGGAACCTATGTCAACTACTAAAGCCTGATTAAGCAAAGACCAGCAGGAATAAACCTATAGTGTCAAAATTAGATTTATTGGCATAATACAATCAGTGACGACACTCTAGAAAAACAGTTGATTTCTACTTGACAAGAGAGAAGAGAGGGATTCCTTTTATAAGGCTTCAGTTCAGCTCATTCTGAATGAATAATTTGGGAGAAAAATCTAAGAGAATTAGGGATCAGTTTTAAATTGGTTGCTATTTCTAAACTGAGATTATGAGATGTGGGGTTAACCTAAAGATTGAGAATTATCAGTGGGGTGGCTTAGCATTGAGATCCCCAGTAATAGATTAATACACAAAAGCTGGCCTGGGAGTATCACTGATAATAAAGCAGGAATCACTGAAAAAGAGGATCATTTTAACATTCTCTAACTGCAACACAACTTGATTTGGGGAAAAAAATGTTTATTGCTGACTTTGAAGATGACTATTTCTGTATCTGTTCTCTCAGCCTGATTAATTGTAGGGTTGCTTTCCTCTCTTTTAGCCTATGTTTATTTTTCTCTTTAATTCTGCATACATTTTCAGGTTTCTTAAAATATTTTTTATTTGTCAATGGATCTTTATTTATTTATATGCAGTGCTGAGAATCGAACCCTGTGCCTCACTCATGCTAGCAAGTGCTCTACCACAGAGACACAATCCCCGCCTATTTAGTTTTTCATGACTAATCTTCAACATAGTGTGGATCATTTCCAAGCATCCTACAGTTGTTCAAGGATCACTGCATTAGTCAGTTTCTTTATAGATAATGTTCCTTTAAGGTTGTGTTTTCATAGAAGAGTTTTTGAAAAATCTATTCTGCCTTTTGTTGTTTTTTTATTGGTTTCAGAGAGGGGAGTTAAGAAATAGTTTGCTTCACTCAAGTAAAGAAATTATTCTAAGTCAGAACAACTGTATGAAGTGGGAATTTAGTAAACATTTATTCACCACAGGATGGCTTTGATCATATGCAACATTCTGTGATCAGTTAACAAGGGAGGTTCAAAAAAAATCATAAACTACAGAATGAAAATCCTACTTATTTTGTCAATATATGATTTGTAATTAACATAAAGTTAGGTCTACATACAAGTACCTGTTTGGAAAATAATGAATAGTAATTTTTACATAACCTGTGTTTTCTCACAAACTGGCACACGAGTGTCAATGTACATAGTGCCTTGTCTAAGAGATTCTCCTCATTTAAAAATTGAATTTTAAACAAAAAGATAAATACTAAGAGTTATTGAAGCCAGTTGCAGTGGTGCAAGCCCCTAATCACAGCAACTTGGGAGGCTGAGGCAGGAGGATCACAAGTTGAAAGCTAACCTCAGCAATTTAGTGGGGTCCTCAGCAACTTAGCAAGATCCTGTCTCAAAATAAAAAATAAAATAGGCTGGGGATGTGGTACTGTGGTTAAGCACCCCTGGATTCAATCCCCCTGGTACCAAAAAAAAAAAAAAAGTTATCAGTTACAGGGTATGCAAGGAGGTGGACACAGATTATTTTTTATAAAGGTTTTTGGGATCATAAACATATAAGATAAAATTTGAATTTATATAGTACAGCTTAATGAGAAAGCTATATAAACACTTCAATGCTAACTCTAGAACAATAGCAATTTAATTGAAAAAGCATCTTTAACCCTCAATGGAAATAGTGAATATTTACCCCCCCCCAAAAAAATGAATAATTTTAGTGGACATAAAGAAAAGCCACTTATCCTTTAAAGTGTAATAAAACTGCCAGTTTTTATTGAAAATACTTGTTATCACTTATAAGATTCACTTTCTGGTATGTGAGTAAAATAAACATTTTTCTAGATATACTACAAACGTTTTTTAGATGACTTCTTGTTTCTGGGAAATGCTACTATTGTCACATGTCTTTGTTACAAAAGCAATTACAGTGAATGCATTTTCAAGTAATATAAAAAGGTAGCTAGTCATAACACAGTATGCACATTTATTTGCACAGAATTAGAAGAGTTGTAGTAACAAGGAAAATAATCCTGTGATAAAAAAAAAATCCAGGCGAGTCAAGAGAAGATGTTTTGTGAAGAAACTTAAAAAGAGAAGTCTCCTACCCTACCTCAAAACATAGAAGTCCTTCACTTGAAAAGTGAATTGAGCTCAACATGGAGAAGAGAGGGTCTGACCAACCTGGAGGTAGACAAGGACAGTTACGGAAAGAACTTTTTTAAAACTATGAATTACCAGGAGAACATATGCCTTGCATCTGACAATGGACTTGTGATTGCATCACCATAAAAAATTTTCAAGCAAAGTCCTAACTAATTTTTGTTGAGAGAATTTGTTTATATCAACTTTG